ATACATACATAGGCATACACTAAAAATACGAATGGAACAGGACTAGAGAAATAAAATACATTGTTACTGTTGGAGATTTGGAGGGATAACTGGTCCGCTTTTCAAATCTCCGCGCGTTCCTATGAAGCTGGTTATAATACAGGAAGGAATCCATATCTACAAAGTAACCGTTAACAATAATCTACTTTAATGGCAATATGACAATGCAATACAATCATTACAATACAACATGATATATTACAGTTATATTGCAATGCTTAAGGAGTAATGCCGGCTTACTCCTGCTCTAGTCCGCATACTGCAGAGCTACTTTCACCCGAGGGCAGCATGTGAAGAAGAGGCCGAACGCCAGGGAATCCACCGGAGATATACCAGAGTAAGAAGGAGGGGTTTGGTGTTAGGTCAGCTGGTCATCTTTTCAGGTCATCTCATTGGGAGACGCAACGCTGGCCAGCAGGAAACCAAACAGGCTCACTTTACAACAAAAGGTCTCAAGGCCTGCATACCTACACCTCCCCCACAGAGCAATAAAATCCTGTTTACTCCAACCAGCCCAGAATGTTTATAGCCATTTGTAGTCCTTACATTTATGAAAGGACAAAACAGAGAAATCAATATAAAACACAAACACAGGTATTGTTTGAACAGTATTCACTTAACTGCTACTGTTGATAACCACCAGAGAAACCCAAGGGACCTCTCTTAATATCACAAACACGGTAGCTAGATCTAAGTTGAATGCAAATCAGGACATGCTCTCACCTTCCCCCATCTTCCTTTGTCCTCAAAAACACATGTCAACAGGCCCCAAATGCAGCTCACAGTTTTACCCAAATTATTCTCATTTTAAGCTTATCCATAGTTTGCTAACATGAATAAATACAAATATAACTCTACATTACTCACCCATCAGAATCACATGCGACCCTACATTTGGTTGCAGAAGCCAGGAGTGAATGTGCAGCTATATCCCTGTTAGCCAATTGTGTCTGCTTGACCCAAACACAGATAAAGACGAGCAGGTAGCAGGAACAACGCAATAACTTAATTGATAACATACTAACAGGCTAGAATCTAAAAGAAAATAGCTGAAAACTACAGGTGGGGTATCAGAATTTCAAACAAAAAAGTAACTATAAACCGAAAAAACGAGCAACAGAGCAGGTATTTGTAGACCCTTTAATTTGGGGATTGACAACAGGTGGCTGGCTGCTGGGCCAATGGGACACAGGGAAAACGAATTAGGGCGGGTCAGGTAATCAAATTGGCGGGAAAACAAACACACGAAGGCAGGCAGGTGGTGAGTGTCCTTTCAAAAATAAAACAGGAAACAAGGTTGTGACCATTTCCTCGAAAACTATGTTATTTGTTGAAGAGATGTGCATTTTGAAAACAGATATATTCACATGTGGGCAGTTTCTCCATCTTGTGCCCTCTCATTAACAAAAAACTTTGACAAAGGGACATGTTCAAACATATTTTAAAAGAAAAAGAACACACAAAAGACAATGAAACAATAAAACACAATGACAATGGATGTGGTTCCTACTTACTATCCTTGTGGACTCTCATGTGACTTCAGACTAATCCCTATAAATGTGATTTAATTATAAATTAGACTCAAAGTATTATCTTAACAACTTGAGAACTTGGCTTTATTGATGTGAAATTTCCCCAGTAGCAATAATACATTGTCTACTGAACTTTCTGGTTGTTGTTTTTCTTAAATTAGAAATCAGGTAGATATGTTTATGATGTTTAACACCGCCCCCCTCCGGGCTGCACTCACATGTATATCATGTGTTTCTGCTCTCTGACTCCGCCCAGCTCATGTTATGAAAGCAGGGCAGTCTACACATCGGAGTCCTCTGGCTGAAAGGCTCGAGTCGGAAGCTGGTAAAATGAGCTGTTTTATCATTCTTTTTCCACACAAACACATTTTCTCAGTGTGTTTTCTTCGGCGCTGTCATAACGTAGTGTATGCTTTGTCTGTCTCTAGTGTGGCACTGGTTTTACCATAGCCTATGCAAGATAACAGCCCTCATATAACATGTTGCATTGTGCCAGCACTCAGGACACAGTGTTCCCTCTGTTTGTTCCAGCCTCTGAATACTGAGTGAGAACATTCATGATTATTCATGCATTTAAGTTCAACTTTACTCTTACATCACATGTCTTAACTATATTTTAAATGTTCTGATATCTTTATTTGTTTCCAGTTATAGGACTGTGTAGTGTGTAGTGGCAGTATGCATGTGTCCATTAAGTCATAAGGGGTCATAACTTAAGTGTTCATTTTATAGTTTCTTTGTGTCTTAGAACTTAGTCAAGGATAAAACAACACATTTATTTGATGTGTTTTTCTGACTTTAATCTTTTAGTTTTCTTCATGGGTTTTCTTGTGAAAACTATTTCTTATTTAAAGGTTCTGAAATGTAAACATTTGCTGGTTGTTGGGGGTTGGGGATCCCCGATTACTCCATTTCATGGTGGAATTTACATTTTGTGTACTGTTTAACAACACATTTATATTCGTAGGCATTTTCAAAAATAAATGTGAGTGATCTGCATCTGTAAATGGTACTCAGTCAGTAGTTAAGACGTTTTAAAAAATCATTATTTTGAAATTCTTATGATTCAGAAGCTTAGTAGATGCAAATGTCGATTCTATAAGGAATCAATTTGTTCCTCCATCCCTTTTCTAAAGGTCTACGGGGTTCACTTTGATGCACTTATACCTTCTATTTTCTAACTAGTTTTTGTTCTCCGTGCAGATCCACTATGCTTCGTGTCACCACTGCGTCCCTGTGCTCCTACTGCCAGAGGATAAGGCTGCTCGTCCCTAACTCTGCCTCAGCCTTCACAGTGACATCCCCCAACAAAAAACCTGAGAACCAGCTCACCGTGGACTCCCTCTACGAGCTGTCGGTGGACATCCGGAAGGTGCGCAAGTCCAAAGCCTGGGTTCTGTCTGAGAAATCTTCGTATGTGTCTGAAACGGCTGACGTGTTGAGGGACATGGGGGCGGACACAGCAGTGATCGCTCTCATCCTGGAGACCCACCCTGAGGCGGTCCTCTGTCGGCCCGAGGACGTGGCCGCTCAGCGGGACCTCTGGGTGTCCGTGTGCCCCAACAAGCGTGAACTCATGAGGATCATCGAGAAGTTCCCGGCCTCCTTCTTCACATTGACTCACTATAGCAACCAGCGGGACAACATCCTCTACCTCCAGAGCCTGCACCTCAGCAACAGGATCATCGGAAAGCTGATGGCCAGCGCCCCGCAGAGCTTCAGTCGCCCCGTGGTGCTGAACAAGGAGGTCATCCACACGCTGAGGGAGACCTACCTGGACCTGGGCGGAGATGAAGGCAACCTGCGCATCTGGCTGCAGAAACTCCTCAGCCAGAACCCGTTCATCCTGCTGCGGCCGGCTGAAGCCTGGAGGGACAGCCTGGGCTTCCTGAGGGAGCAGGGCTTCTCCACGGAGGAGCTCCTCGGCCTGGTCTCCAGCCTCCGAGCCTCCATCGCAGAGCTGCGGCCTGAGTGCATGCAGCAGGCCCTCGCCTTCATTGAGGAAGCTCTCGAATGCTCCAAAGACGAACTCAAGGTAATTGTGATCCACTGCCCCGCCATTTTGTACTACTCTTTACCAACGCTGGTGGCTCGGTTTCACGGACTGATGGATGTTGGAGTGAGCATGGAGCAGGTGAAGGAATCTCCAAACGTCCTGGAGCTCACCACTCAAATCGTGCTTTATCGCATCCAGAAGCTGGCGTCCTACGGGTACGACGTGTGCTCCGGCAGCCTGGACGTTGTCGTGGGAACCAAGAAGGACTTTGAGATGAGTTGTGGAAAGCTGCAGCTCAGGCAGCAGAGGCCGCTCTTCAACCCTGTAGCTCCTCTAAGATCTGATGAGGACTGAATGACAGAATGTATCGATATGCTGCCATTGCACAGTATGAGGAAAATATGCAAATAGTTGTTGAATATCGCGATAACGATTTTACTTGTGATTAGAAAAAAGAGAAGTATGCTCTGTTCTGGTGCTTTCAGTATACTTAAGTAAAACGTAAAAATGCATTATTGTTTTATTGAACAAATTGAACTGCACCAAAAAAAAGAATGATAGCTACATTTTAAAGTGCAATTTTCTACTGAAACTACTCAGTGTAGATGTACGTTGATGTCATGGTGATGACTTAAAAATAGATATCTTGTGCATTCCTAGTTGCAATATGCTGTTTATAAAGTGATTGTTTTGGCGGGAAAATGTTATTTGATGCTGATTTTGGGAGGGGTTTACAAATTCATCATTCTTGCAAGACACAATAAAGAGGGAGGCAGGTTCAAGTAAAAAACAAACCTTTAGCAATACAGTTGTTTCTGTTGAGAACAACTTAATTGTGAAACTAATACCTCTCCGCCTGTGGCCTTCATTATGCTGAGTGAAGATATGACACTGTTTCAACTACAGAAAACCACCAAGTACAGTATCTTCTGTGACAACTGTTGGAATAGTGAAGCATGGAAATGAGTGCCATCCTTGTTAATCAAGATGTACTACTGTACTTACAAAATGATGTAATTACTTATCATGTAAAATAAATGGCACATTTAACTATGTATTTGTATTTTTTGTTATCGTTTCGGTGTTAAAAAGCTGCTTTTCCTATCAGACTCAATTAGAAAAGTCAATATTCAGGGAAAACCTTTGCATGTACTGTATGTCTTGATGTGTACAGTCAACAGCGCAATGGTATTACTAAATATAACCTAAAAAAGTTGCATTTGAATAGGTTTGTCAGTTCCCAATGCTACATTTAAAGAATAGACTTAAACCATTTGTATAGTTAATCAAGTTTATTAAAGAAGCACACTTAGAAAGAACAAGACGCAAGTAAAGCAGTGCTCTCTAAAATAATAATACATGGTATTTATGTAGCTTCTCATAGTGCTCAAAGACGGTTATGTAGTACATTTATTGAGGCTTATACAAGGTGGCAGATTTGAAGAATATGTATTTCTGTCGCCTTTAATCAGTAACGGTTGATCTGGCAACAACTTGATAAAACACTGATATGGCCTCTGCAGTGTTGAGGTTAAAATCAGTAGCAGAAAGAGAAAAGTAATGATTGAAACACTTGTTGATAGACATCTTGTACGGCTTAAAAAGGAGTCAAATTAGATAGTCGAATAAGTGAGAGAACAGGCAACTGTATTAGGGTAGATACAAGATTTATCAAATTGTTTCACTCTTGAATGGACATTTTAAAAAGGTTGTTTTATTCAAAATGTTCAAAAAAAACAAAGGTCCATCCACAATGATTTCATATATCAAAAATATATCAATGGGTCTATGGCTACATAGAGAGAAAACGCAACATACAATATTCAAATATGTACAAGTTGTATGTCAAATTAGCAAATTCATTATATACACACGGACTGTTGTCACGACTACGTTAACCTAAAGATAAGAACACAGTCGCTTCAGAGTCGTCAGTGCGTCGCAGTGCTTTGATGTCCACATGATAATATTCAGTCCGGTTAGTGTGTTTAATGATGCTCCTGTTAAAGTGCAACAGTCAAGTGCTGGGACAAAAATGTAAGTCTTAACGTCCATTTTTTATTGGCTGTGTGCAAATACTCCTGTAAGGGGAGAGAAATCACACATTAACTGACAACAACAAATGATTCAGCAAATTACTCATCACTCCTGATAAATGCAAACTGGGCCGGGGAAGATGTATTGGCTTTACATGATATATATATATATATATATGGGCAAAGTATTAATATTTCTGGTGAATTCTAACATAAATATAGCTGTTAAAAGGAATATTTGTATATCAATTACTCATCCTGTTGTACCTGAATGCAAATCATTGGTTTTTCTCCCCTACCTCCTTGCAAAAGAAGATTCCAAAAACTCAACTGCATTCATACTAAAACCATACATTAATATATAATATGTCTCCATTAAAAGTATTTTCCTACTCGTCTAATTATTCGTAAGGGGTTTGAAATAAGTTTCCAGCGTACGTTTAGTGTGTACTCTGTCTCTGGATTTTAGAGCCTCTGCCATTCCTGGGGTCCTCGCAGGGTCTTTTCCCACCTGACAGAGTGGAGACGTGGTGTTCAGGTCCTGATGTAACATAGAGAACAGTTTAGGAAGCTGCCCCAGAAATACAGTTTTACTATATCTGTTACTTAATACAAAAAAGAGCTTATGATAAAGGTATTGGACTTCACAGGCTGTTTCTAAGGAGGAATTTCCATCCAAAGACACATCTTCAACCAATTCATATGTTTGAATAAATATAATACGCTGTAGTAAAATGTGAAGCTGTGCACCATTTTTGGTATAAAATAATGTGATTTTTCACCTTTCTGAATTTTCTGTACACCTTGGCTGTAACACAGCATACTGCTACTGTTGCCTCCATAACCTGGAAATCAAGCAAGATTCAAGGATTAGCCAAGAAGTTATCAAGAAATTCACAACAACATAAGGGTGACAAAATTAAGAAAATACATTTGATATAAAAGGGGAAGTTACACATTAGGCATTGAGACCAGTGTGAATGTATTCAAACAGATGAATACATGTGCATTAGCTGAGGAATCCTACCCTGCTGCTGTGAGCTGCTGCTGGTTTGCGTCTCCCCCTGCATCAACTCATTGACGCCGCTCTGCCAGTCTCCCTGCGAGGGAATGCCCATCTGATGGCCTGTGAGAGAAGACAACACATTTTAATGTTGTTCTTCGACACAACTTCACCTACAGAGACTATGGCGTAAGTAACAAAAAGCTATTGCACATATTATACCGCTCACCAGATGGAGCTGCAGCAGCGTTGTGTGTACCATCAGCAGACAACCCCATCCCTTCAGAGGACGTCTCTCCGTTACCGTTAGAGATGGAGGGAACTGAAGCCAGAAGACCTGAAGACACAGACAGACAGTCAGCAGCTGATACAGACTATAGTTACTTTAGAGCAGGGGTGCCCACACTTTTTGGGCTGGTGAGCTACTTTTGAAATGACCAGCTCACCGAGGTCTACCAACCAAAAATAAAATCCCAAATTGCAAGGGTTGCTGAATAACACGTTTTATTTATACATGGGATAATAGGGCTGCAACAAACGACTAATTTGATAATCGATTAATCTATCGATTAATGAAACGACTAATCGACTATTCGGACTATTACGCCTTGCACAATTTCTCAAACGCTCTTATTTAGCCATCAACTTTTAGATGTAGCTTGAGGTTGTTTTAGGCATGTGGAAACTAACAATGAAGACAATAAAGATGAATACTTGATTCAAAAATACATATATTATTAAATTAACAAATTGTTTACAAAACTAACATTGCTTTTTATTTAAATAAAATAAATAATATTTCGCATCAAAAGAAACAACAATGTTTTAACAAATCCTATTAAATAATGTGATGACAGAACTGTGAACAGAATAGCTGTAACTTTAACAAAATAAAGAGTAACTCAGTTTCCTCTAATCATTAACCCATGTTTGTATCATGAGTTAACTCCGTGTGTTGCTGCTAGCATACAGAACACCTGACGGGGAAACGTTACTCGTGTAGGGGGCTACAGAGCTGCTAGAAAGACAGTGGAACCCGGTGCATTCCTCCGTCTGGATGTGGAGCGCTTTTGATAAATGTTTCGACACATTGCTCGTGTTACCGCCCTCACATGCTGAACTCTCTTGGCAAGGAGCATTGTCCTCCTCAAGACGGGTAACATTTAACCTCACCTTGGAGCGCTTCTCTCCGCCATCTCCGCCGTGTGTTTCTGCATGTAGCAGCCGCGTGTGTGTAAACTGCCCCGCCCCCTCACGCACAGACGGGGGAGAGAGAGATCTCGTCTGGATCGGAAAGATTGAAAATACACCGACCATAGACGCATTTGTTTGTCTTTTTGCATGTTAGAAACGAGTTGGCGACACTAAGACTGCGAGATAATGTTTGTGTAGCAATAATACAGACCTTTCTCTTTCTCAACTCGCTACTCGGAGGGAAGTCGCTGTCATATGCCTTGTGAACACTCCGATAATGCCTCTCCACGTTACCTTTCTTTGGCAGAGCGACGCTTGCTTTACAAATAAGGCAAATAACCTTTGAATGTGACACAAAAAAATATTCTTCCTCCCATTCTGGGTGGAAGTGGTTTGTCTTTAGCTTCTTGCTCGGTCCCGCACTCATTTGGTTGTTTGTCTCTTGTTTGTCTCTTTAACTTAATTTGAGTTTTCCCGGCACTTGACTGATTTTGTATCATTCTGGGTTAACAGACTGGAAAGCGATAGGTCGCTTTTTCTGTCAATCAAGTAAACTCCTGAATTAAGTGGCAGGGAGGCCAAGGGAGGAGGGATCAAACCCTGTTTTGTCTATTTTAACGGAGCTGGATTTTTTTTTTTAAGAATGACTCGCGATCTACCAGCATTGCCCCCGCGGGCGACCGGTCGCCCGCGGTCGACGTACTGGGCACCTCTGCTTTAGAGGTTACCTAACCCTAGACCTGTAGCACAAGGCAGGTTCTTGTTGGCTATTTTCTTTTCTCTAAAGGTTATAAATGTTGACATGATTATGTTGACGGTCTTAAGAATGCCTTGACCAATGAGATTTAAAAACGTATTTAATTTTTTTAAATGTCATTGTAGTATTCCAATATTATTATAACTATTTAGATACATATTTTTTATTTGACTGCTTTATTTTTATTATTTTTTTCTGAACAGATTTTTCTCTATTTTATTTCGCATTCTTAAATTGCATTAAAACATTTGTATAATACTGAAATGTTATCTAACTTTTTTGTGTTGTTAGAGGCAGGCAGGGCAAAATGGTCTAGGTCATTTTTAAGTCTACATTTAAAAAATAAGCAATGACCAGTTATTTATATTCTGAAGGGTAAAACCTGCCTCAGCATTTAAACCTGCATTATTTCTTTAAATAACTTCTTAAAAACTCACATGTATTAACTTTCCTCTGGTTAAATTGTGGTGGTATAATAAATATTTGTAATAAGTGGATGCATCTGGTGGTCTGTCCTCACCGAGGCCTCTGTAGCAGGACAGCTGCTGGTAGATCTGCTTCATCCTCTCGATGTTGAGCCGGCTGGTCTCTGCGTGGTTCACCATGGGTTTGGGATAATGCACTCCAATGATACACTTGGCTGCGTTCTGCACACCTTCTGGAGCGTTCCAGGGATCATAAATGTACTTGGCTGGAAAGCCTCTGAGAATGGGCAGGTAGCGCCTGAGTGAAGAGATGAAGAAGAATTTATGGGGATGTCATTTATCGTTGTGGTATGATTTCATCATGACACAGGTTAAAAAGATTGTTAAACACCTGAACTGTTGTAACAACATCCATAACATTCATCTGCTACTTAGTAATTATTTATCTATTTATCTAATATATCATTCCAATAGCTTGCATATAGACTCTTATTTCACTATTTCACTTTTTTTAAACTATTTTTATTTTTGTATTTACTTTTTAATATTTACTTGCACCATATTTTTCTGTTTTTCTGTATTATTGTGTTTCACTGTTGGAGAAGCCTGTGACCAAAGATTTTCATCGACATAACTACTCTGTAGCTATGTTCGTATGACAAATAAAGAACCTTGAACCTTGAAACACTAGCTATTAAGATATCAATTTAGCATCCCAGCAACAATTAAAAGGTATCACTTTCTCAGCATACCGTATGTAGTCTCCGTTGGGGTCTGTGCGTCGGCCGAAGCCCACCGGGCAGTAGCAGTGGAAGAACTGCTGGAAGAAAGAGCTGCAGGAGAGCCACATCCAGCTGCCTGCGTTCACACTCCAGTCTGCATCCAGCAGCAGCTCCTCGAACACCTGAACACACACACAAGCCAAGATGTGGTTAATATCACATAAAGTAGTGTATACATTTGGATTTCTTTTCTAAATAGCTTTAAAAAGGGTATATTAACCTCATTGTTGGCATGTTTCTACGGCCAGACATGCCTTAAAAAACTTAATTCCCTGTGTTCTCCTGTAAAATGTGTTTTGATTCAGAAGGTTGGGTCATTTTAATAATCAAACGTGGTCATTTCAGTAGGAAAAGGAAAATGTAAATTGCAACAAACTAAAACAATATTGAGATATGAGCAAGAAAGTATATACTTAGATGAATTAATTAATTAATTCAATGCCTTATAAGTATTTTTAAAGGACCTGTGGGTCAACCTGTAAGAATGAACAGAATAACAAGTACAAATAGAATTTAGAAATAAAATGTAGATAATAAAACTTGCAAATGTCTACCTTCACGCCCTCCTCCCAGCTGATCCACAGGTCCCCCCGGGTCAGGAAGCAGGCGACGGCGTGCCGGGCGAGGTGGTGGATCCAGCCCTCCTGCCTCAGCTGCGTCATGATGGCGTCTATCCAGGGGAAGCCTGTGCGGCCCTCCGCCCACTTGGTCAGCGCCTCGGGGTTCCGGTCCCACGGGATCTGAACACAGATGGGGTTGCTCTCCATCGTGTCGAAGCAGGGGTTGTTGGTGGCTGCCGTGTAGAAGAACTCACGCCACAGCAGCTGGCCGTAGAGCGAGAGGGGGGGGGGAGCTGTTCTTCTTCACCTGAGGGGGGTCGAGAAATGACATCAAGATCATTTTCGATTAGTTTGTTAAAATCAGGAATAAAGCCTGAGTGAAAATGCTGAGTATTAGAGAAGATACAGAAGTCTACAAAAACAGCCAGGCATACATAAATATATTTATAATAATATATTGTTCTTAATCATACTTCCTTTTTGTGACTGTAACGGTTTGCTTTTGAGTATGAATTCATCATCACACCACAAGAGGAAGCTAGCGCAACATAGAAAGACGTCACCTCAATACAGATAATAAATAGGGAACCACTAGATAAAGTAACCTAAAACCCTTTTTATTATTTGATATATATACATATAAATACTCCAGTAACAGTGCCTGAATCCTTACCAAAAACTAGCCTGAATTAAATGCAATTCACAAACAACTTATTCAACATCCAATTCAATTAGTTTTCTCACTCCATTAAATAGGAGATGTAGATCATCAAATAGCAGTGTGCCAAGAGACAGTAGACTTCTATAAATGTTTTTATTTTTAATCCAAAATATTATAAATGTAGCATGAATAATAAAAAGTCCAAGACAAACCCTCTAATTTGTAACATTTTAACCCACTTTAACCATTACAGTGTTCATCAGATATTTTAGATACTACATTTGTTCATTAATATGTTCAGATGTGTTTTAATGACTGACCTTCTTGTACAGGTCGGTGAGTTTGAAGTAGAAGAGGCGGCAGGAGAGGCAGCCGAAGCGCAGGTACGGGCTGAGGCCGGTCGGGCTGGCGAGCAGCGAGTTGGCGTTCATTCTGGGACGCTCGAAGTTGGCCACCCACGCCTGAAGGACACAAGGAGAAATGATCAGGTATGAAAAAACTTGACAGCATGGTGTTATATCACAACAGGTGGCAAGGTTTATCGAAAAGAGCCTTACATAATAAGGAAAACATGTTTAGTCAATAGCTAGAAGTAGCTGGTTTTTCTTTTAAATAACAAGAAAGAAGCTAGTCCTTCTTTATCTGGTTTGACTGACCTTCCTCTCCAGATGCCTCTCGAGTCGTGTGAGGGCCTCTGTTTCTCCCCCCGGCCACACAGCGGAGGACAGACCTTCAGTATCAAAACCTGGAGGCATCACATTTAAAAAATATAAAAAATCTGACTATAATGTTGAATAATTTAAATGTGTGGTCATGCTCTATCTGAACACACACCACAAAGATTACTGATTCTCACCCAGCTCCTCCAATGAGGGGACACCAAACTTGTCATCGTGGTTCTCGGACAGCGGCGTCCTGCACTTCCCCATGATGTCCGCCGTGATGGAGTCTGCAGGCTCCTCCACCGCATCCATCCTGCTGATGAGGGTCTGGAACCGCTTGTAGGTCAGAGGTGACTGACCCCCATTTAACTCTATGATCCTGCAGGAGAGAAAAGAGAACACAAAGAGTCAAACACCAAATAGACACAGAGATAAAGTTCAATGTACATGCATTAAGATGTCACGCGGAACCTGGATTTTAAAAATTTTTTTTTTACAAATTCTAACAACCTACAACCCCCTTTTTTTAAATAAATACTCCAGTAACAATGCCCTTATCCATACCAAAAACTAGCCTGAATTAAACACAATTCACAAAAGCACAACAACTTATTCGACATCCAATTAAATTAGTTTTTTCCCCATTATACATTTTCTCATGCATTTTGTTTTATACATTTTACTGTTGTTTATGTGTAAAGAACTGGAACAAATTAAGTTAAAAGTATTGCTGACATTTAGCTTAAATGCTTTTTCCGAAATAAGTTATTGTGAAACATTCATTTGATTTATTTGTTTTTTATGTCTGTTTTTTAATTCTACTTTCCAACAGCTGCACTAAATATATTTCTTCCTACTGAAGAACTGGGTTTTTCACAACGAAAATCCTAAATGAAAAGAAAACCCAAAAAGAGTTGGCTTTAAAGCAAAAGTGGTAAAGGGGTCAGGGGTGGAATGAACTCACTTGTCCAGGTCGTAGAGTGTGTGGGAGATGCGGACAGTCACCTCCACACCAGCCTCACAGGCCAGTTTCTTAATGGCTGCATCTCGTTCTTTCCCGAAGGGCTCCGAGTCGTACTCAAAGGACAGACGAGAAATATTCCATTCCTGGAGAACAGGGAATTAACAAAAGTTAGCTACAGAATAAACTAAACAGGGTTTGTTTAAGGCTTTAATGGTGAATCAGACTTCACCTGGAAGAGTCTGGGAAAGACATCAGTGGGTTGGCCTCGGATCACAAACAGTCGAGAGTTGAGTTTACGGAGGCTGGAGTCCAAGTCCTCCAAACTCTGCAATAAGAACCTGAAGGACAACAGGGACAGAGTAACAACATACAGCATTCAAAAACATGACAAGTAGAAGCTGGAAAAAGAGACCGTGTGTTACTTTCAATCAAAGTTTGGAGGTTAAACAGCTAAATCTGTTTAGGTTCTAATCCAAGAATCTAAAAAATATTCTTGTGTCCACAACATGGTGCAGACACACAGGAAATCTTCCAGGATTTAAAGTTACCTGATTAAAATCAAAATTAAAAGTATTGTGGTTGACAGAGAGGAGACAAGTGCTAGTACTGTTACAAAACAATGGACGTTTTTCTTGTGAAAGTGAAATGCCGATTTAATTTCACTAAATTCCACTGTCCTTACACTTGCACATACAATGCATACGTGCGGTTTTAATGCCATTTTATTCACGTTAATGAGGATATAAGACGAGATCAATATAATTTAAGGAGGGACGTAAGCATTTGGATTCTCTACACCCAATCTGCAGGCATTGTGTGCATCCTTTTTTGACAACTTGATGTGAAAAGTGTTCATACTGGGGATTTAAATTAATCTCCCAAAATAATCCGAAGGTTCTACAACGTGCGCAGAAAGGTTTGACCCAGATAATGTCTGGAAGCCGGGGGACACAGGAGGACAAGCAGCCATCTTATTGCTGCTGAAGAAGCTCATTTTGGATAAATATGTCCTTGTTGTTAGATAACAAGGGGGAAAAGGACATCCTTGAAACTATAAAAAAATAAAATGCATGAAAGCAACTGCTGCAGGGGACTCTATTTTAACAGTGTCCTGGTATATGGCTTTATATAACTTTAAATAATCTCTCTCTCCATTTATACGGCAATTAATCCCAATAATAAATAACTGTCTGCAACCTTCACCTCTCACATTATCACTGCAGTATTTTGGACCTGAATATAGTAGAACTACACAGTGCAATTGAACATTCATCCCTTCAGAAAAGCCTAATTTAACTTCCACTTTTCATGAATAAAAGTGTGAAATGCTTCGGCAGCAGAATGTCTTATACTGCAGTGTTACTTTCAAACAGCATGTTGACCTTTACCGTTTTTGTCAGTGTCCCATTCACAGAATTGACTATGATACATGATTAAAATCCAACTGGTTCGTTAAAATTAGAACTGTCCTTTGTTTTTATGTTCCTTACAAAATAAGAAACCTTGCCATACACACACCTGCTTGCAGACCGAGAGGCAGTATGTTCTGTTGCTATAGGTACCACACTCTGTAGGAGGCTTCTTGTATCATCCAGGTCTTGTACTGATATTAAATCCGGCTCACTGGAGGCATCAGGAGGCAGACCCAGTCTTATCTGATGGCCACTGAAAAGCCCTCTAATATCTCAGCCCAGATGTATCCTGCCAGTCTGGTATTGAGTCCCGGCATATCACTAATAAATCACAAATAAGCTTTTCTGAACTCCAGGGTCAGCATAACGCTACAAAGACAGACCATCCTACTAGAAAAAACGCAGCAAGGGTTAAGCTATGTTTATCTAGGGTGATAAGATAAAAACAAAGCTCTTAGCAATTCCCAAAAATGTTCATTTGCTTTTATTTTAGACCAAAAGATAAATGTATGAATATTAAAAAGAAACTAATACAAATTAACAATGAAAATCATTGTTGGTTGTAGCCCTTGTTTGGGCTAAGTGTCATGATTCACAATATGATTTGTAGGCTGTAACATCTCTGCAACACCATAACACTTCATTAAGAGTGGTTTTGAGACATATTTAGCTTTTTAAGTAATATTGCCTCCTGCTATTTGGATATTGCATTGGTCCACAGTAGGTTTCAATTGCTTTTTTCAGCCCTAGCTCACGCTGTTACGAGAGTTAATAGGGGTCGTAAGCAGCAGCAGAGGAGGAAAAATAGTTCAAAAAGACTATAGAAGGTTCACTACTAACACACTGACCTACTTGTACAATGCATGGAGATGTCGGTGGAGAGGGAAAGTTATTGGAGGTTATGTAATCTGTGATTGGCCGCCTCCTGCACTGAGGATAGTCCCTACATCTGCTCACTGATTCATAAGCTACTCTAATGATAGCAGGAGCGTGAGAACAAGCGCTAATTACAGACGCTACAGGCTATAGTGAGCTTCTGATAGCCTTCAGCATTATCATCACGTTGCATCAGTGTGACAGAAATGTTCCAGAGCCTGATAACTATCAATACCACTATTTTAGTGTTTAGTCTAAGTGTCATAAAAACCTGTTAGTTTGTTGTTGTTGTTTTTTTAGAAGGGGCACATTAGTCAATTTGGATTTAGACAGTACAATGTGTCATTACAATACAAAAGTCCTTCAGTGAATCCTGCCTTCATGCAAGTTATAATGTTCAGGTATGTTGAAATTGTTTAGAAGTGGTGTTGATTTAACTGTTAGTTTAGAGGTGGTAGGCGGCACTGTTAAGTTGTATTAAGCGATAAAGATGACACATTTTCATACCTATGGCCTTAATAAAGAAGAGATTTGGAATCTCACATTTTATGTCGACTTCTGATGTTAAAGAAATTAAAGGTAATGAACCAGGGAATACTGAGTGATCTGCGTGGGAGCTCTGTATCGTCACCCCAGACTGCTGATGCATAACTGTGGAAGGGTAACATGGACGCTCCTTAAAAGGCTGTCGGTGCTGCTGCCCTACTCTTCCAGTGACGGCATGGGACCAATATGCAAACTAGAGCGCACAGTGGCCAGGAGAGGATGCCCAAACATCCGGCGAGACACTGACTGCACTGTGAAGCTCAGAGCTGTTCCATTCTGCTGCAGCAGGTGTGCATATGCAAGCCTTAATACAGGAGTTCCTAAACAGAGGCAATAAGCTGGCTGCAGGCTACAGCACACGTGTTCGGGGTGGTGATGAATTAATGTTTGGGTCACACAGAGCAGGCTGGCTAAATAAGATGCCAACGAGGTTCAGCAGGATTGATTTTAGGGCTATAAAGCTGGAGAATAAAGCCAGTGCGTTTGCACAATAAAGCCAGTGCGTTTGCACAATACACTCACATAACACCTCACTCCTATCTTGAGCCTGTAAAGCTTCATACACCAGACTTAAAAAGCATGTCCCTATCTTGACCTCAAACATGCAAACACTTAATGAATTCAGGAAATGTCAGTTACAAAATGTAAGTATTATTCATGATTTGCCTCTTTACCAATGGTGTGTGGGTATTAGTGTTGACATTTTTCCAACTATTCAATAATCGTTTAAGTCTATGGAACACTACATGTAACGTGAAATCTTCAAATGTCTTCTACTTATAGTCCTAATATGCAGATAATCTAACATGTATCACAAAAAGAAGTAAATCCTCTAATTTGACAGGCTAACATCAGAAATTACTGAAACAATAGCGTTTGTTTCTTTACTATTACATTACCACTGTGTCTAGGCCAAAATAAATCAAAGACATGTCCCTATTTTTATCTCAGGACTTAGCACATTAGTCACTTTGAAGAGTGGAAAGGTCCATTTCTGCCAAGTGTCTACTAATCCCCATGGGAGAATTAACTAATGTCTTTGACACTGCATCAGTCCAGTACCAGCAGTGCTGCTGCTGTAAGTAGTGAGAAGCTATAACGTTTATAGATGGCAATCCATTTTGGATCACACATGAATTATAGTTTAGCAGGGAAATTAGGATCAACATGCCAAAATAGTGTTTACCCAATTTAAGATCTTACTCACCATTTAAGAAGGAGAAACGACCCATTACTTGTTACCACTATTTATCATGTACTGTATCTGGAAGTCAAGTGATGTTTGGTTTATGATAATTAGAGTAATCATGATGTAATGGAGGAGTGCAAACCAATTATCGCTCATCTTATTGACAATTTTATCAATGACTGTTCATTATGGTGTTAACAAATATCCAAATGATGTCTGTACTATATCAGTCATAATCCAGATGATGTAAAACAAACCGTTTTATGATATTATCTGATTGAATGTAGAGACAGACAATGTTTATCTTCTGCAACATTTAAGAGGATTACAATTTCCTTCTGTGCCATAATAAACAAAACATACAGAGTGGCATCTCAAGGAAACACCTGCTGTAAACAAATTCAACATGCTGTTCAGTGGCGTTTCTAGGTGTACAAAACTGGGGGGGCAGAAAGAGGTCGGGGGAGAGAGAGAGAGAGAGAGAGAGAGAGAGAGGGGGGACAGAGAGAGGGGGGGGAGGAGAGAGAGAGGGGGAGTGTCAAATTACATACTGAAGACCACAGGAGCAACACTGTGAGCGCATACATTTACGTACACAGCGTGGGGATATCATAGTAATGCACCTTCATACATGGAGTAAAGGTCACCATCACAAAGTAATTCTTAACAATAACAACAACCGTAATGCTTTAGCATTAAAACACCATAGACCTGTAAATATAAGGAAAACACAGACACTCATCATCGAGGTCACAATATCAATCGATCCAGCAGAGGCCAAACACAGAAGATCAACAAAATATATGACATAAATGAACTTACCAAAGCTGAAGGCTCACTTGAAAAGAAAAGCGGCACGGCGGTCCTTCCTCTGACAGAATGTGTCTATCACTTTGGGGATGAAGTCCTGTAGTTGCTGGATCAACTGGCTTTCAATTGAAAGCATGGCCAATGCGTTAAGTCGCGGCTGTCCCATGGTGTTGCGAGTGAAAGTCTTTATCCTTTTGAGGGTGGAAAAGTTCCTCTCTGACTCGGATGTCGTCATCGGAGTTGTCACTATTATTTTGACCAAAATAACAGTCTCAGCAAACGTATCCTCCAAGTTGTTCTCGTGAATGGATTTTATAGAGACAGGGCAGTGTTTCCAGTGTGAAGCTCACTGTGGCGGTAGAGCGTGGTCAGCTCAGACTTCAACTTCTCCTTGTTTCCCAACGCAGGCCACAGTTTCACGGCGCAGTCAAGCTCAGGTGTAGGAAATGACAGGACATGCTGTGGGAAGAATGAGCTGTCAACAAGCTTTGCAGCGATCAAATGGTCACTCTGTGAGAACCTCTGTTCCACCTGTGAGATGACTGTGTCACAAGCCTCCTTCATCACCGGCGCTGTGCTGCTGACTCGTCGGCCTGGCTCGTCTGTTCCATCATGAGCAGTGGCGGCCAATGCATCAGTTTTCTGCCTCATTTTCTGAACATTTTCCTTGAAACGGCAGAGCGCGCTGTTGATCCCAGGTGCATCGATGCTTCGTTTTTGCAGAGTGTTGTATAGAACATCCACTTCTGGCATAAGCAACGAAAAAAACTCCAGGAGCTGCATAAATGCTCGGTCCCGCAGTTTCTTTGACAGGCCGTATGCCTCACTTATGGTGACCGCATCCCATCCTGGTTGTGCGCGTATATGCTTCATACACTGAAGTAGTGCATCTCGGGTCTCCCAAACCGCGTTCACAGTTCTGCTTTTAAAGTTCCATCTCACAGCCGGTGGCCGTGGGATGCGTCTCTGTGTTGCCTCTGCAAGAGCTGCAACACGTTTTGGAGCACCGGAGAAAAAAGTGGAAAAAGCAGTTAGATCTGCAAAAAACACCTTCAGGATGCTCATCCTTGCTGAACACAGTTGCTGCAGGGTCAGGTTCAGTTGGTGGGCGTAGCAGTGAACAAACTGAGCGTTTGGGTACGTCTCCTTCATCACCGTCTGTACCCCGCGCACGTTACCGCTCATGACGGCCGCCCCGTCATAGGTCTGAGCGATTAGCTTTTCTTTCAGCTTCAGGGGTTCCAGAACAGCCTTGATGCTGTTAGAGAGACCTACACCAGTTTTGTCCTTTACTTCCACAAACTCCAAAAAACGCTCTGTAACTGTGAGGTCAGGCATAATGTATCGCAGCACAATCACCATTTGCAATTTACAGGAGACATCGGTTGTCTCGTCGGCCTGAACGGCAACAAATGATGTGTTGTCCACTTGCTTGGCTATTTCCTCCCTGTACACATCATACATGCAGTCCAAGAGTTCATTCTGTATGGTGCTTGATGTCCCTTTGAAAACAAGCTGAGCTTCGTAGTGCCGTTGAAGCCTGGAATCGCCCTCACACATTGTCTCGAAAATTGACCTGAATATCCCTGGATTCAGAGAGTCCGCCGACTCGTTGTGGCGCCGCAGTGCTGTCTCACATTTCCCACACAGTTTAATACAGGTGATGATCCGACCAAGCACGTACCTGTTTTCTTCCACCTTCCTATTATGAGAATCAATGCCGCGTCTGTAGGCGCTGTCAATCTGAGCTGCAACATTCACCCTTCCAAGTAATCCCAATTTTACGGCATTTTCCAAATGACTGTTGCTGCTCTCATGCTTCATTGTCCTCTCCGAAAGATGCTTTAAGTCCTTGTAACCTGTCCTCGACCAAGTACCTTGATCTTCACCAAAAAGCAGGCAAGGAAAGCAAAAGAGGGAATTCTTCTGGATGCTCGCCGTTAGCCATTTCTTTTTAGCAAACCACTCAGCGTTAAACCCACGTTTAACTTTGCCCGCAGTCTGGACCATTTGGAAATCCGGTGGATGGTGGGCTAAGTGTCTCAAATGTGTGCTCCAGTAAATGGTCAACTTCATTCATTTTCTTTCAGTTTTTTACTTCTTTTAATCGCTGGTGATGTTAGCTATATGCTGCTCTCTCGTCTCCTCTTCAAACTACACGTGACGTTTCGCAGCACTGCACACGTGAGTACTTACAGCCAATCAATTCTGAATTATGTGAGATGACGTATGGTGGGGATGGGAGCACTCTGCCCCTACGGTCATTATTTTTTTGCCACACACATTCAATAGAAAAATACTCTGAGCATGCGCAGTGTAGTTTTTACAATCACCGTTCACTTAGACTGTGAGAGGGAAGGGCAGGATCGGGTTTTGTCCCACATGGCTCTAAACAGCTCAAAACGGCACTCTAGACACTAATTAGAAGAACACAGACTAAAACAGAAATGTACAGACGAATCAGATTATTAAACATGACCTTAAAATATATTTTATATGTTTTTTTATTTATTTTTTAGTATTTTTTTGTAATCATTATTTGTAATACTTTCTTCTGACACTAGGTGGGGCTGTGCCCCACCTGCCCCTAATGACCCGCCGCCACTGATGCTGTTATGTTTTACATGCTTTATGAAAGCTTTAGCGCAAGTTCAATAAGGAAGACCTAACACGAGTCACTTACACGTCACTCTATGGCTCCCTTCCCCCCTCATTAAATATGAGGGCGTCACCCCTCAGCAGCCAATAGCTGCACATGCTAAATGCCTTAAATGCCTGCTCTTCCTCCCTGTCAGTTGTCATTTGCAGATGACCGCAACCCGCCTCCACCCCTCTCGCCTCCAGTCTCCTCCAGGACAAAGCTAAACCTTCCTTCTTCAGACCGGTCTCACCTACTCATCACCACCACCAGTGTCTAGACCCCGGGGATTTCATCGGAGCGGTTCTTTCCCTCCTGAATGATTATCCTGCAAACCGGGGCCTAATCGCCAAACACCATTACATTCTCCTGTTGTATTATCATGGCAATCATTTCATTCATATGACGTGTAAACAATAAATATGTAATTCTTACATCACGTCTCTCCGGTTTGAACTATATTTGGTATGTTGTGTGCTTTTCTCTTGGAGTCACACAAAACATTGTTGTATTTTTTAATAGATAAAGGTGCCAATGTGTGCACCAACAAGCACAACAGATATTGCATAACAGTTACAACAAACCACAATAAAGAGTCATCAAGGGGTCAATAGGGGTTATTATCATAAAGTAGAAATACATGAAATAAATATATTTTTAAGATGCTGACAACATCAAAATAGTTTCCAACCGCCTAAACAATTAGTCGACTCATCATTGCAACTTTATTAAAAAGGCACAGAAAAGCCAGAAACATCATTTCTTAGGGGTTGGAAGTAGCATATGCTTGAAAAGTAACCGAAAATAATCATTGAATGTCCAAAAATCGGATATAAGCACAAAAACACAATGCAAATATGGCACAGTACCTGCATTTGGTACAAGAAGAGTAACAAGAGGCAGGGATTTAGAATTATATGAAAATAAATCACAGCATCCAGATGTTCATGGATTATTTAATGATCTGCAAATCATTAAAAAAATAAATCATCATTAATTTTAGTCTATGAAACGTCAAAACATTGTCAAAAATATGCAAAATGTTCAAAAATATCACAATAACATATGATCAAAAATAATCACTCGTGATTATTATTATAATAAGAGAATATAGGAATTGTTTTAATACCTTTGTTTTGTAAAAATGATTTAATCGATTATAATTTAAAAAAATCTAAATTCGATCGATGTATCGACTAATCATCGGATATAAGCACAACTACATTATGCAAATAAGGTACATTGCATGCATTTGCTGCAGGTGGGGTAATGGGTGGCACCAGACGTGCATGGATCACTGTGAGGGGCTATGTGAATGGTGCCTCCTCTGTTACAATGAAATGCATGTAGCCTATGCACTATGCACGCGTGTGTGGATGCTCACCTCCACCTGTTGATGCCAACGTTGGAGGATCCTGCGAACCAGGGGTCGAGGATGTAGACGCAGCGGACAGTATCCGCCCCCAGCAGGGAGTCCTTCAGCGACGGGTTGTCGTGGAGCCGCAAGCCCTTCCTGAACCAGTGGATCGTATTAATGACCATTACTCAAGTGGACGAGTCCTAGTTTTCCTTTGTGTTATTTAAGTCTATTTTCTTACTCCAACTCACTGTTTGATTACAAAAAATATATCGAAGGAGGTCAAACCAGATCACAGGGAATCCAAATGTCAAAATAAAAGTATGTTTTTCAGCTCGTATGCTGTTTAAGCATACGGCTCGTTGCTCTTTAGTGACGCAGTCCAAGTTTGCAATTAACCTTGTTCTAACAGAACTTTTTCCATAATGTCGAAGAATTTAAAAACAGTATAGGCTGCTGAATCATTTGGGCAAGATGTGCAAGCCGGTGGGCTTTAGGACCCAGTCCGCTGACAGGCAGTAATCTCGTTTTGCGTTGTATAACTGGTTTTTCTGAAAAAAGCGTGTATAATGATGCACTACAACGCTTCTGTATAGCCTACCTGCACTCTGAATGAATAGCAAGAAGCAGAGGGATTAACTAGCCTGTCAATTCAAATTGTTTCTGCTATCGGTCCACCGTGGAAACAGGCTGCTTCTCGCCGTGTTATGTAAACACGGTTCCTTCGATATTCTCAAGAGAGTCGTCCTAAAACAACCTGAACATAAAAATAGCTGTGAAAAATCATTCTCCGTCCCGCATGAGTCTTCTCCTGCACTGTCAGTCGGATGTTTTTTAGTACATTCTCCTCAAAGTCCACGAATAGATGATCGATCTTCTCGCCGCACCTACAAGTCTGACCCCGCCCTGACTAAGCTACCAGCTTTCTGATTGGTCTAAAATGCTCAGTGCGCTCTCTCAGCGATGTCACATTTCAGTTGTACATTTTAAATGAACATAATTGTGTTTGAAATGTTGAATTATAACCTGTTATGGTAGTCCCGACTCCCGACGTCCCCCTCATATTAACAGGCTAATTCACGTGGCTCTACTTTAAAATGACAAAATACTGCACGTTTTGACCTGTTTTGATAGCCTAGTATTTGTTTTTTTTGTATTTACTACAAGTATGACAAGCTAATAATACATTGTTTAATGATTAATAGTTGTATAATATGTGTGCACATACACTTAGAAGACATATTGTTGGTGTATAAACGGAAAAACAGAAAACCCGACCCCCTACACAGCCAGCTGGCTTGTTAACAGTAAAAGAACCCGGATGAGCACATGAAGTCAGGCATGATGAGCGGGTCACGCGTCTGTGTGCTTGTGTCAGTGTGTGTAATCGTAGAGCTGTATTTGTAGCTGACGCACACGAATAACTTAAACCGTTGATTTTGTAGACTCAATTTGCCCTTCTAGTAGACAGAAATCTGTAAACATCTCTAAAATAGTTATAGCATTCTGTATGTTCAGATTTTGGCTGCCAACTACAAATCACAGCCTATTTGAACTTTAGAAACGATTTCCTCACCACAGCTTGCTTAGAAGTGCTTTTTGAATTCAAATGCATGTTATGTTATTCAGGAATAGTCTTTTCAAGATTCTGTGTATCTTAATGTTGTCTTAATGCTCTAAATAAAACACAATCTCTTACTCAATATATTGTAATTTTGAAAGACATGAAATGCAGTGTTTGGACAGTACCTTGTTTATGTCACTGAGTGGCAGTATAGTATCACGCCACTAACCCCTCCCTCTATGTTAGATGATAACTTAATGTAGGCCTACTACATCCATACATGATAAGAGTTATTTTCCTTTTGTCTTTTACATTTCATGAGCCAACATTTCCACGGAATAATATGGTGTTAAACATGTTGTATAATGATGTACAATAATACAATATGAGTCAAAGTTTCTCACAGTCACTTCACAAAAATATACAAAATAATGAACATAGAACAAGCAAAAGGCTTAATGAATGAAAGACTACACACTTCACTCGCAGGAACATCTACCAAAACACAGTGTGAAATTATAAAATTGAAATGTAACCGAGCAGCATGACTAAAGAATTGAGTGAATAGGATACACTCATTCTGCTGGCAAAATACTAGCAATCTATCATCTTGCTGGGAAAATCATGATCTTTTTTTGCTGTTACCAGGCAACCAAGGCTTAATACGTCGTGAGGACAAGCTTTGGAGGACCACGGTGCATGTAGAGGAGCAGCTGCCCACCTACACCACTCTCACCTGGGTTAGTCAGCAAGATATGCTGCATTGCATCAAGAGCTTTGGCACACTGCTGGAGATTAACTCAGTTTCTGTCACACACTGGAAAACAAGACGTGTTAATGACGACATTCAGTTATAAACTCTGTATATGTATAGATGGAGTATTATGCAACATGCATTTTATCCTTTAATAAATAATTAATTAATTTCTACTTTAAAAAGTATTGGTTTTTCTTATCACTGGTTTTCTTCTCATTACCTATCCCAATCTCCCTTATCTTGACAGGTAAATAAAGTCATATTCACACAATACAAATCTTCTGTTCTTATCTGGAAAAAGTTGTATCCACTAAAATTCAGAGGCCCAAAGTATTTCCATGTCCAGTATTAATAAAGTATCTGCTCTAAAACACATTATGCAGTGTGGAAATGCGTTATTATAATTTGCAAGCCAACCCACTAGCACGATTTGTTTTTACACTTCTCTCTGTCAATCACCAGAGTGGGCGTTGCATCATTTCTGAAAACTCCAATGTAATGAGTTGCTTTTTTTCAGTGCTGGCATGGGTACTGCCCTGGTACTGCCATGTCATGCAAAGAAGATCTGAAAGGGCCAATGGCATGGCAGGCAGTGTGGACAGATGGTTGGTCCAGCTCAGACGTACAAGGAGAAGCCCCGGCAGAACGCATGAATCATCGTTCCACCAACTGTTCCCCTCAGCATGTCTTCAGAATCCAACATCATGATAAAGTGATGCTAAACCTTGACGCAGGACTGTATCAGTAGATGTTGGACATGTGCTCTGGACAGTAAAATATTTATGATCTAGCATTAAAGGTTATGGTGTTCCTCAAGAATATGCTGCAGTCCCTTTCACTTCTTACTTCATCACTAGTTGTGGACAGCATGCCAACAAAGCTTTTCACTGCAGGACAGAGGTGTGTGTTTTATCTTTGTGTGATTCAGGAAAAACGACACTTTCCACAGCAATGTCAAGAGTTTTGAGATTGAGCATCCTGCACACTGCTCTTGCTCAGCCTCACAATGTATTGATCATATTCTGCTATGTTCTTTTCTCAAGACACAAGAGCAACCTGCATCTCAGATAGTTGGACGAATAACTCTTTTGAACGAAATCCAGAATGTAAAAACATATTTGATTTCAAAAGGACATTATTTGTATTTTTAGCTGAGCATAATGGAAAAAGATAAAGACTTCAACGTATCATTTAAAATGATAGGCACATGTTTGTTTTTCATTTAATCTATTTCTACTTTAATTGAGGAAATAAACTGCATATTCAGCAGGTTTTGCAAACTAATACACACCCAACCAATACACACTAATACCCAACATTGCTGCTATGATAAGAATCAGGATCTAGCTGAAGGAGAGTAATGCAAATGACCTTTGACCTCTAAAAAATAAGTTATTTTATCAAAACATGCACCATTTATGTTTGTGTCCCTTCCAATCCATTTATGCTCTTTCACAATGTGACATTTTTTCCTGTGGTAATATTAAATGAAAAAGGTTGGACATGTTTTTTCCTCTCTCCTGCTGTTACTTGTCATCGCTGCCCATTTCCCTCGGAATATCAAGAGAGCATCCACATTTCCCCCATGTGTCTTCTCAGTGGGAAACCTCCTCTCATCCTGACACTGCCTCCATCACTTCACTGCAGATACACGGCAACAAATATCAGATTGGTTGGCAAAGCAACTGCATTTCTGATTCTGCAGTTCAGCCTCAGCAGCACCAGGTAGCCTCTGCTCAAAGGTATACAGCAGGTAGATGTCAGTCAAAGCTGATGGAGGTGCGGATTGGCTTGTTTCTGCCCGCGGGGCTGCAGGCTCCTCCTCCCTTCCAGAGTCCTGAGCTTGTTGCAGACAGTGTGCGCTCTCAGGTTACGCGTGTGAAGTTGTGGACTGGAGGATATCGAAGACACGCAGCCACTTAGAGTAGGAGGAAAGCAGAGGCTCTATTCTGACGTTTCACTCTTTGAATCTGGGGAATACAACCACGCAGCGGCTGGGAAACAGCAAGAAAACGACTTTGTGGCATTTAACTGGGAGACCAAGCATACCCAACAGTATGCGGTGCAGTTATGGCAGGCAATGGTAAGACAGTCGTGAGGACGCTGGAGGATTTAACGCTTGATTCTGGTTATGGTGGAGCCGCGGACTCGGTCAGGTCGTCCAGCGTGTCGCTGTGCTGCTCCGACACGCATCAGTCCATCGTGCATGGGGGTAACGGCTGGCATCTGACAGAGTCCATGCACAGCAGACAGAACAGTTTGGAGACAGTCAACACCGTCCTGGCGGAGGACACGGACATACTGGAGTGCTCGGGTCAGTGCGCCAAGCTGCCCGAGCTGGAGGACGTGCCATGGAGCCTTGGCGAGGTGGAGGGCGCACTGAGGAAAGACGAGGAGCTGATGGTGGGCGACCCTCCACCCGAGGTGCTGGCGCGGCTCTCCGCTCTCATCAGCAGCGCTCTGGTGAGGGTGGCTCGGGAGGCGCAGCGGCTCAGCCTGCGCTACGCCAAATGCACCAAGCACGAGATCCAGAGCGCCATCAAGGTGGTCCTCTCATGGACCATCTCAGTGAACTGCATCACGGCGGCCCTCAGTGCCCTGTCCCTCTACAACATGAGCACCGGGGACAAGTTCAGCCGCGGGAAGTCGGCGCGCTGCGGGATGGTGTTCTCGGTGGGCAAGTTCTTCAGGTGGATGGTGGATAGCCGGGTGGCGCTCAGAATCCACGAACACGCTGCCATATACCTCACCGCCTGCATGGAGAGTCTGTTCAGAGAGGTGTTCAGCCGCGTGCTGCGCAGCGCGCTCGTGGAGAGGGACAACGGCGTGCCCAAGTTTACGCTGGAGTCTCTGGAGCAAGCCATCAACAACGACTCTGAGATCTGGGGGCTGCTGCAGCCATATCAGCACCTCATCTGTGGGAAGAACTCAAGTGGTAAGCTCAGGGCCAACCAGGGGTTATTTGTTTAAACATTTGATTGAATGTGATTTGGTCCTCTTGTGTCACCTCTGCCCAGTACCGGCCAATGTGGCAATATACACCATAATCTAACTTAACTTTACCCCTGAAACAACTCACACCTTATTCAGAGGGAATTCCTACTAGACATATCTCGGAACAAGTGACTGCACAAATGGCGACAACTAACTGAGTGATGATCTGCTGGAATGTGATTGGACAATATTTTGTCACTTTTGTGCTCCAAGCCTATCTACATCACTACACTTGTAAAATCCTCCATCATGTAAGCCAAACCATATTCACTTTTCCCAGTTCCATTTTATTCTGATGAATGTCTATGTGTTTTGACAAGAAACATCTATAAACAAGTTGCTGCATCGTTAAACCAAAAAAATGGTGACTCAGCTGGAAGTGATGAGTCTTGACAGGAGAAAACTGTATTTTCTATCACAAGAACACACTCATAAACCTCTATGCTAAGTGGTATTCATATCTTTTGAGGAGAGTATGGTTTCAAATAGCATTTTTGATTGATTTTTAAGAGTATGTGATTGTGAGAATATTCTTCACAGTGCATGCACATGATAATCTGCTCAGTTGGAAAGTATATGACTGCAAACAGTGTAATTATGCTATAGGGAATAACTACTGCTTATCTAGCACGTGTAATTCACATCCAAACAAAAGAACTTGACAGTCTCTTGAATATTTATTACCCCCAGTTTAGACCTCCAGGCCCACCTCTGAAACAGGAGCTGCCTATCTTGGTTATCAAAGCCCTGGGGCAAGAATAGGTATTTATGGTTAAAAAAGATCAAACAGGCTCAAACTTCTATTTACTTTGAAGCTGTTGTGCTCTCAGACTTTCATTTAAGACGGCAATGTTAATGATTGTTTTGCCTTGCGTGTGTAGCTGATATGTGCATCGGGATTTAGTAGAAACAGGCTTTGTGTTTATATTGTTTGCTGGCCTCGTTGGTTATGCATGCTATACTGTCTCACTCCAGAAGGTGTAAGCTGTCAGTGTGGGCTGGCCCTCTTATCCAAAGCCCTCAACGAGTTGGCTGGAACTATAAAGCAGAAGGGACTTGAAATGTTATTCTTCCAGTGAGAGCCAAGCAATATTGACCAAAGAATCATATTGCAGCTCTTTTGCTAATTGTTGAAGCACCATTGTTTTTTTACTTTCAGCAACATAATAGAGGTGGTAAACAAAGATCCTCAGGGGATTTTGTACATGTGGAATAAGTCTTCTGGATGAGCTGTGCATCTCTAACAGCAGCAGAAAAGATTGTTACAGTGGCAGTCAGAAGAAAAATGTATCTGAAACAGCACCAGGTTCCCCAGGGATATTACGTGATTTGAGATTCAATGTCAATGGATGCGGCTTTTGCTCACACAACAAGTTATTTTATATAATCCAGAGTCTTCCATTTCTGTCATGCAGAACTCATAGACCAATAATCCCCAGCCTAATGCACCAACATGGCAATAGGAGTCAAGCAGTGAGTCAATGCCTCAAGCAGAAATGGCAAACATTAGGACGGTTCAAGCTCTTATTTTAATATTTGCTGTATTACATCATAACCAACTGAAAACCTTTGATATTGTGTCTGTTACAAAAAAAGGTCAAACTAATGAAGTCAACGCAATAAAGCAACATGTAAAGCAAGGTTTCTTGTGAATTTGTAGATTACACTTGAGTTTGATCAGATTTTCCGAGTACGTCTATTTGTTTTTCATTTTTTAAAAACATTTTTATGCATTAGGATGATTGATTTAATCATGCTACAATTCCATGGAAAAAGGATGGATTATAATATTGCATTTCTTGCACAGCCCTAGATTAATCAATAATGGAAATCATTAGTTTCAGCACTAAAGAAATATACCTTTCATTATCAATTAACCTGCTAGTTATTTTCTTAATAAATCCATTGATCTCAAAAAATGAATCTTGGTGATAGACAGAATGCTGATCACAGTTTTACTTCTAAATTGGATGTCAGACATTTCTTCTCAAAATCCCCTCATCCATCCTCTTTAAGAAATCCCGTGACTCTGATATTTGGCCTCGGTGCAGATGCTGCTCACGACTGTTGCTTTGTCTTGAAATTGCAGCAGAGAAATGGGGACTCCTCTGTCTGCAGACAGGATGCAGAGCCCAGCGTGCACCCCCCCACTCCCACCCGGTGTGATGGTGCAGAGGAGGCTACAATTCACACTCAAACAAAACTGCATGATGTCATTCTGTGACAGCTAGGAAGGCAAAGCATTGTTTTTTTATGGTGACTTTCCATTTGATATCCAACATTTTAATAAGCTGGATTTGTCACTGTTGGGTTCATGACCAAACTTAGAGAAGAATAACCCATTGAAATGTCATCTTTGAAAATGAAAAATTGGGTCTGAGTATTCACTCAAATGTCTGTTGGTTCTGATATTCTCTGTTTCCAGCCTTTTCAAACAAAGCTGACTGAGACCATGAGATTACTGTATGTTTAGTAACAGAGAGCATAGTCACACTACTTGCCTTAATTTCCCTTGGTTAACAACAGCAGTGCAGCACATAATGAACTTCCACACGTCTCTCTGCTCTCCCACATACCGTAGGTTCGTTACAGCCTATTTGCTGACTGATTAGAAGAGCTAAATGTAGGATTTTCTTCACTTCCTATGTTTCCTTTGCTGCTGCTGTCTTAACCGCATTATGTTACTTTTATAACATTTGTGTGCAGATTCAAGTCGTGCTTTGATTTGTGTGATGGCTGAGTTTTCGATGAGTTAATACAAATCTAACAGGGGCGCTGTGGCCTCTTAATTTCAGCGTGCGCCCTCATACCAAAATGCCAATTTTCCCTGTAAGATCTTAAAGTGACACCAGAAAACAATATTTCTGTCTGTCAAATAGTGTATAATTACTCAAAAAATATGAACATCGTGTCAAAAAGACCGTCAGGCGGCAGAGACGACTTTGTTTTTACTGAGCTCCGACGCCACGTTGTTGTTTACATCTACGGCGCTATCGTGTTCTCGCGAGAATGTACATGTTGTATACACAAGATCAGCGCCCTCATACTATATTTGTATATAACATATCTTTTGGTCTGATTTATGTATCCAAATGCTTTTGAGATTTAAGGCACAAAATGCCAGTGTTGCAACTAGTTTTTTGTGTTTAACCGCAAACTAGTGACATCTTGATTCATCACAAATTAACTCCTCTGGACATGCCACTGTCCTATTTCCTAGCAATGACGTAGGTCAACTCTCAAGAAAAGCAGCAGTTTGATAATGTTTGTTTACTGTACTGCCACATCCTGACTTCATTCTGTATTTAAAAGCTGATATGATGTAATGCTACACTGACAAAAGCAACAATACGCATGCATGGTACAAAGCAGTTTGTCTAGTTGTGAGATATCGGTCAAAATATTTTGTGTCAAATTGTTGCCTCCTGACTTATATTTCTCTGCAGGGATTCTGACTCTTTCTTCCCAGTCATGTTAACCCACCGATGATAAGTGACGACAGAGACAACAGCCTGGTCATCATCTTCCAAACCTACGGGGGCAGCGTTTAAATGTGGGATCCCGAATGACTTGATTGTTTCTGATTATCATTTGCTGTGACCTTCCCCATAGAGCTTACCCAAGCTCCGCAGGACAGATGACACAACATAATGGAATTGCGTAGCCTGCTAGTCAGTCTATTAAATAAGCAGTGGGGTTTCTGCTCTCCCTCCTTCTCCCTCCACTCTGTCTTTCACACCATCTTTTATTGTGTTTCCTGCTGGAGGGCGGCCTGCATGTTTGCATATTTATTTTCCACTGTGGTTTTTAATAAGCTCAACTCATATCCGCACGATCCTGGCAAAGCCGTTTGTTGTCCATTCTGTTATTATTTTCCTCCTGTCCTTCCCCTCCTTTGGGGTGGACTGGCAGATGAGCTGACAGATTGCCGTCATTCTGTTGGAGATGCGAGTGCCCGGGCAGGCGAGCTAGTTGTGATGGATTGTTATGTCATGGTAATTTCATAAGACCAAAGACTGCAGCACCCACCCCGCTGCACTTCCAGCCATGATCAGTGTTTACGAAGTTATGTGAGGTTGTTTTCGGGGCTTAGATTTATTTCATGAGCTGCCACCAATACTACATTTGCTTGGAAATATTGAGTTCCACTTGATATGCTTCGCTGTGATTCCACTGGTCGGGACTCCACCAACACCTATAACTCTGCTCCGGGCAAGTGGGGCTGGGACAGTGGCGTAACTATTGACGGTGCAGCCGGTGCAACGCACCGGGGCCCCGAGCCGGCAAGGGGCCCATTCAAAACAAAAAGAAAAAAAGTTTTTTATTTTTTTTAATATTCTTTAAAAAAAAAAAAATGTGGGGGCCCCAATGGCATTGACCGGTTCACGCAGTCTTCAAAGTAATCAAGCAACCTAAATTAATTTGTAATTTGTCTGTCCAATGACCCTGCTCCCTTTCATGTCATGTGATACCTTGCGTGACGAGCGAACCGTTTAATCAACCTGTACTGTACTGTAGCATTATAAAAAATGTAATAGCTTGCATCTATAATGTACAGCAAACCAAAGCACAAGAGCAGCGCTCAAAAGAGAAAGGACAAGAGAGAACAAGGAGATGTAACAGCTAAACTGACAAAATTAGACCGTCATACATCGTCCTCGAAATCGAGCGCTAACGTTAGCAATGTTGACGTGCAGCGGCAGCCGGAGCCGGAGGCTAACGATAGCTCACCAACATCATTGCTATCTAGCTCCATAAGTCCATAAGGTTGCACAGCCACGGCCACGTATACAGCTTGTATCCGTGGCCGTGGCTGTGCAACCTTCTTCTCCAGCCAGCCAGGAGGAGAGGCTGGATTTGGCTGTGCCAGGTGGTGGTCCAACAGTTCCCCCAAGGGCCCCACCCGATAGGGGACTCTATGTCGCTATTGAGACCTCCGAC